CGCGTATTTGATCCCTGGGAGAGACAAATATGATTTAACTGGCCATGATTGTAATCTGGAAGTCAAGACACTTGAGATCTGTGTGAACTATGATTTATGAATTTTCTATGTGGCGCTTCTCTTGTCCAAATTGAATTTTCCTTTATCAATTCACACTCTTAGGCTGTAACATGCAACCAAGTGAAGTTGTTGAAGTTTAATTTTGTTTCTAACTGTGAATCGAATCCTCTCTAGAACTATGAATATTTTTCTTGGCTGTTATTTAGAATCCAACCGACTTGTAGGTCGGATTTTACATTGCTGCGTTTATCCCTTTTCCTCCTTTTTGGTTATCAACTCAAACTCTTAATTTGGCCTGTATTCTTAGGACCAAGTGAGGATCATGTTCGGGAAGCAATTCAACGAGAAATCGAGAAAGAGCAAATCCGTCAAGAGATCATTGTTGCAGGAACATCGAGAAGAAGAGAGCTTATAGCCGAGGTTTTACAGGAGATGGCCGTCGAGAGAGAAATGGCGATAAGACGAGTTATTCGTACAGAATTACACTTACAGTGGTCCTATGATGTACACAGGCCCTTACAGTCTAGTTACATCACCCATGACACAAATGCCTAAGGCAACACCACCAGTGTTGGAGTCTAACAAGGATAAGTTGATTGTACTGGTAAGGAGCTAACAATGATGATTAAAGCAAAGCGGTGATGATCAATTTCAATAAAGTCTTTGTCTCATATGTGTTCCTTTTTGTTTTCTCTATTGCAGAATAGGGCTGATTCTGTTGGAGAAAAGCGTAAAGCAGAGGATACTCAAACTGGTATTGGAAGAGCCAAGCGTATAGCTAGAGAAGACTGGAGTTTCCGGATATTGAAGGAACATCTTCAAGAGGAGAAAATGCAAAAAGAGAAAGAAGCAGCCTCGAAAGCCAAGCCGATATCTGTGGAAACCGGAGAAACAGTCTCTTTGAATCTTCCTTGCTTGGAGAAACTTAGCAGTGGAAAGCAACAAGTAGAGAGCAAGCCAAAATTTCAGTTTAAGTTTTGGTGCGACGTTTGTAGCGTTGGATCCTTTACTCAAACGATCATGAAGGATCATGAGTTAGGAAAGAAACATATTGCTGCTATCAAAAAACAGAATGAGTTACTTGAGTCTGCTTCAACCTCCATCATCACAGCTCCTGCTTCCGCTACATCGCCACAATCAGAAGCCATTATTAAAGTACTCCAAAATGCTAATGTGGAGGATCAGAAAGAAACAGGAAAGAAGACAGAAGGTGAGAAGGAGAAGAAGGTAATCATTCGGTGCGAAACTTGTAAGATTTGGACACATTCTGAACAGGTGATGGAGACTCATAAGCTTGGGAAAAAGCACAAGGCTCTGCTTGAGAAACAGCAACATAAGCCTCTAGCTGTTTTAGATACCAATGTCATGACAGTCCCAGTGAGATCTTTAAATGCTGATCCAGGAGAGAAAGGATCAGTGGATCATACAAAAGGTATGGTTCATTGCTTGGACTAGACATAAAAGGTGTTGGATCATGACAACATATTATGGCTGATGAATCAGACCAGAGATTGAACTTCATTAAGTCATGAATAAGTTTTTTGTTTTTTGTTTCTGTGAAAATTTGAAACCTT